GAGAATTTTGCAGTGAAGACCTGAAGGCACTCTGGGGTAGTGGCTGCACACACGAGCTCTGGAGCCAGACCGACCTGGATTCAAGTTCTGCCGCAGCTACTTTACCGGAGTGAACTTGGAAAACTTCCTTCGCGCCTGTGAGCCTCAGTTTCCCCAACTGTAAAGTGGGGTTAATACCAGGATAGACCACACAGGGTCACTGTAAGGAGAGGGAGCGCGTGGAGCGCCTGGCCCTGGGGGTGACTGGGTCGAGGCTGCCCTGGCCGTACCTTGCTCTTTTCTCGAAGCGTCTTAGAGATCATGCTCTGGTCAGAAGTATTCTTCCTCAGCTCCTCCTTGAGCATCCTCATTTCTCTCTCCATGTTCTGGATTTGCTGGAAGAGTTGCAACAAAAGTCAGCTTCCCTGACGGCAGCTGGACCCGGCTCCTGGGTGGGAAGGGCTGGATCTCCATAACTCGTTCCACCCGGTTCATTTAGGCGAAAACCTAACCGGGGATCAGCTAAGCTCCATCCCTGGGGGGAAAGCCTACGTCTGTAGAGCCAAGTACAGCGGGGCCTTGACTTACGAGTGTCCCGACTAACGAGTTTTTCGAGATACGAGCCGTCTCTCGGCCGATTTTTTGCTTCGAATTGCGAGCTAAAATTTGGGTTACGAGCCAGCTTCAGATACCCCACTGCTAGTTGGCGCAGCGAACGTCACAGTGAACGCCACAACATCAGCCCAGCGTTCAATTCATTGTAATGGTGAAAACTGATTTGACGCTGCCCTGGCATACCTTGCTCTTTTCTCGAAGCGTCTTAGAGATCATGCTCTGGTCAGAAGTATTCTTCCTCAGCTCCTCCTTGAGCATCCTCATTTCTCTCTCCATGTTCTGGATTTGCTGGAAGAGTTGCAACAAAAGTCAGCTTCCCTGATGGCAGCTGGACCCGGCTCCTGGGCGGGAAGGGCTGGATCTCCATAACTCGTTCCACCGGGTTCATTAAGGCGAAAACCTAACCGGGGATCAGCTACGCTCCGTCCCTGGGGGGAAAGCCTACGTCTGTAGAGCAAAGTACAGTGGGGCCTTGACTTACGAGTGTCCCGACTAACGAGTTTTTCGAGATATGAGCCGTCTCTCGGCCGATTTTTTGCTTCGAGTTGCGAGCTAAAATTCGGGTTACGAGCCAGCTTCAGATACCCCACTGCTAGTTGGCGCAGCGAACGTCACAGTGAACGCCACAACATCAGCCCAGCGTTCAATTCATTGTAATGGTGAAAACTGATTTGACATACGAGTAATTTGAGTTATGAGCTCCGTCACGGAACGAATTAAACTTGTAAGTCAAGGCCCCGCTGTAGACTTTTCTCCATGTGATACACTGAACATGGCTAGTTTCGTTTGAAAATCAAACGAAAATCATCCCAGCTAGTAGCCTGGGATGAAACAGTACAAGACATCCATCATCTCAGGCGGATGTTTCCTCTTGGGGTATATTTTTGCGATCAACGGGATGAGGGCGGTTGGGAAGACACCACGGGCACGTTTGGAAGAACAAAACAATTCGGGTTTTCTTTCTCCCCCTGGGGCAGAGGCGGGAACGCTCCCGACACAGGGACGGGCGCGTCCCCCCTTGTGTTGAAGGCGCTGTGCGTCCCCCGAACTGAAACTGTGCCTGCGGCTGTGGGAGAGGCTCCCATGGGCCCAGGAAACGAACGCTGTCATTTTTGTGGTCCTTCCCGGCATCTTTAATAGTCGCCTTCTGTAGAGGCACACCATGCCTCTTCGCTCTGCTTTCATGAATTGGTGTAAAGTTACTGCAGGAAGGATTTGGGGTTGGTGATAGTGATAAAAGTGTCACTATGATAGAAGTGAGACGGTGGGACATAGTAGTTTGGGCATCACAGGTCAGGGCCCAGGCGC